ATTCTTGACCATTCTTCCAAAGAAGCACATCGAGGTTAATGACTGGGAGACAGTGGATTTCACAAACTCTTTGGCCAAAATTCTAGTCATTTAGAAATGTGAATTTTGGGAATCACACACCATTTGAATCATAGAATCTTAGAATGATAGAACACAGGTACCTGAGAATCTTCAACTACTAGAAACAGAATTTTTAAAACATAGAATCCCAGCCCAGCCGGGCGTGGCTCAGCAGTTGAGCATCGACCTAGGATCCAGGCGATCAGGGTTCGATTCCCAGTCAGGGCACATGCCCAGTCGGGGACGTGCGGGAGGCAGCCGATCAATGACCCTCTCATCATTGATGTTTCTATCTCCTTCTCTCTCCCTCTCTTTTCCTCTCTCTGAAATCAATAAAGATATATTTAAAAAATAAAAACAAAACAAAACAAAAGAACATAGAATCCCAGATTCTGGGAGATAGCCCAGAATAACAGACATGGAGACTCCCAAGAAATATAAACCACAGGAAGGTGGCAGAGACCAGTGGTGCTTAGAGGCTGGGCAGGGACAGGGAATCTCAACAGAGGAAGCCCTTCCCAGCCCCAGCCCAGCCCCAAGGGCAAGCACTCAGAAAGACCTGAGGGTGTGGAGGGCACAGGAGGGTTGCTGGCTGAATGGGGCCCTACCACCACAAAGCCAGATGGGGTCAGATGCCCTGCTGGGGAGCCCCTAAAAGACAGTCTTTATTCCACAGGTTCTGCAGAGCCATCTGCCAGGAGTCCTGGGGCTTGACAGGACCTTAGAGACTGGCTGATTGCACACAGGGAGACTGAGGCTTAGAGAGAGGTAAGACCTGATTCACTCCTAGAAAGATGTCTGGTGGCCATCAGAGCTCTAAGGTAACAGATTCATGGACAAAGCCAAAGGCAGGAAAGCAGAGCTCCTGTCCCCTCCCATGCTCTGTATGCCCCGCTCCCCTCCCTCATCTCATAGTCTTCTCTGTGGAAACTAATGTTCCCCTTCCCCCAGGCAGAGAACCCTAAGCCCTGGTCATGGGAGAAACCGAGCTGTCATTCAGTCACACCCTGCTTGTCTGCACCTGGCCTTCCTTCACTACCTGAGAGCTCTTTGGGGCAGGGGCTGTGGGATGCACCCTTCTGTCCTGCTGTGAAAATGCTCTAGAGACAGGGAGCCATTTAGAGGAGACATCATTGAACCTGGCAGGCCTTGTCCAATCTTCTGCCCACTGTACAGACACGGAAACTGAGGCCAGAGACCTTCTCTGGTCACACAATCCTTGTGTTACATACCACCATCTCCTGGATACCCTTAGAAACTGCATTGACTACTAGGAGGGTATTTAGGGGACCCCTGGGCCAGGGAGAGGGTGCTCAAAGGGATTTCAGGAGTAGTCCCTTCTTTCCTTTCTCCCCCTGCCTGTTCCCGCTCCCTGCAGAAGATAACACATCCCATGTCTGGGGACCTGCACTTTCTGGCAGCCGATTCCACCTCACTAGCCCTTCCTCCTGTTCCATCCACCCCCCCATCAGTGGCCTGAGTGGACTGGGCCAGCCCGAGTAACTGTAAGCACACACCGTCAAGGCAGCCTCAGGGGGCAGGGGAACAATTCCTCCCACATCAATATTTATTGCCTGAGAGCTCCTGGAAGCAGATCATCACGTTCTTAGCCTTGGGTTCTTTTTTAAGAACCTCTCACCCCCTTCCCTCCCCACTCCCCATCCCCAACGTGCTGACAGAATGAAGCCAGCCAGCCAGACAAGTTCACAGCCCAAGAACCAGGGTTTCAAGGCATCACAGAGACACAGCTCTTAAAATCTGAATCTCTGCATCACAGCAGCTTCCACTCAAGGAATCACACATTCTCCAAATCCAGCTGCACAGAATATGCTCTAGAATCCAACCTCAGCATCTTACACAACAGAACAGAATACAGAAGTGACTTGCTCAGGGTCACATGACTCACATGTGACGGAGCCCAGCACAGACAAATCTCTTCCACCTACTCTACCCCAAGGCCCACGTGCCTGTTCTTTCTGTTTCAATTTAAGACTCAGCTTGGTAATTATCCATGACCAGCAACCCAGGCTCTCCCCTTCCTCTATGACTACCCTCACTTCTAAGAACTCTTCCCCAAGTTCTAGGAATTCTAGCTCATTCAGATTTTGGCCTGAGCTGGGCAGAACTGGGAAGGACCATCTGTGGTTCCAAGCTTTCTTTTCCCCTGAAACTGGTCCCTCTCCAGCGTGTGCCTCCCCCTATCTCTGATCCAGCATCACCCCAGCCCTTCTCTGTCTCTGGGATGTCCCATACCAGAGCAGCCCCAGGTCTGTGCAGTCCCCCTCTTGGGTGGTTCCTGGACTCATTCCCATGCCCCACCTCACTGCCAATCACTGGTTCCTCCCTGGACCAAGGCCATAGCTGCCACTCAGTCTCCCTGCCTCCAGCTGCTCTCTGCACACGCTACCGTCTATTGCAGTCCAGTCTCTGCACCTGGTGATAGAGCTCAGGACCCCCTGCTTACCCTCCCTCCGGGGCCACCAGCTGCTGTTGGAGCTGGCGGGCAAGGCTTTTCCTGTTCTGGCCCCTGCTGGCTGTTTCAACATCATTTTTCTTTGGTCCCTGCGTATACACCCTGTGTTCCAGCAGGGGGATAAAGCAGCCTAGTCTGGGGGCAGACAGACTTGGGCTCAAGTCTCAGCTTTTCTAGGCAGAGACCTTTTCAGTCCTTTCTCCTAGGCCCAAACTTGCTTGCTCTAAGAAGGAGGCCATATCATATATTACAGCAAACATATTTAAATGCACCAACCTGCCACATTGAATAGAATTATTCTTGCTGCAAAATAGTCAACATGATTTTTATAAATGTCCCTTTGAAATTAGAACTACTTATCAACAACCAACTTAATTTATGCTTGTGATTTCTCAACAACGACTTTCCTGCAAAATAATTATATACCGTATATTGTATATAATATATTAAATATTATACATATGCAGGTCTCTGCACCCGGTTCCTGACAGAGAACTCCTAAAATTTTTTTAAATTGTTATTTATTGATTTGAGCGAGAAGGAGACATCAATTTGTTGTTCTACTTATTTATGCATTCCTTGATTGCTTCTTGTATGTGCCCTGACTAGGGATCAAACCCACAATCTTGGTGTATGGGGACGATGCTCTAACCAACTGTGCTACCGGGCCAGGGCCTAAAACTCTGGTAAATAGGTGTGCTAGGAGGATTTTTTGTTCTAGACACAGAGCTCCTAAGATCTCTGGAACTTCCTGAGTGATAGGAGCATCTTTTATTTTGAATAGGAGATTTTAGTGGACTCCTGGATGAGGGCTGGTTTCCAGAAAGACCAAGTTATGATGACAAACTTGGAACTTTCAGCCCCATCCTTCCATTCTTTAAAGAGGAGAGAGGAGCTGGAAATGGAGTTAATCACTGATTGTGCCTAGGTAATGACGCCTCCCAACAATGTGGGACTTGGGAACTTCCAGGTCAGGGAAAACAGCCTGTAGGTGACCTGCCTGTAGGTGACACACCCCAACTCCACAGGGACAGAAGCTCCTGTGCTCGGGATCCTCCCACACCTTGCCTACGTATCTCTTTATCTGGCTGTTCATCTGTATCCTTTATCATATCCTTTATTATGTAATAAACTGGTAAACGTAAGTGTTTCCCTGAGTTCTATGAGCCATTCTAGCAAATCATCAAATCCAGGGAGGGCATTGTGGGAACCTCCGATTTGTAGCCAGCTGGACAGAAGTTGTGGGTAACCTGGGACCTACTCCTTGAGGTTGGCCTCTAAAGTAGGAGCAGTCTCATGGGACTGAGCCCTTACTTTGTGGGAGCTGATGCTATCTCCAGGTAGATAGGGTCAGAATGGAGTTAAGTTACAGGACACTCAGCAGATGTCAAGGAGAATCTGGTCATGGAAGTGTTGCGTGTGTGAGGTGAGGAGAAACACAGGAGTGCTATCCCTTTACACTCCCATACTTGGGGAAAGAAAACACCTAATGCACAAATTTTCAGAATATAATAAAATTTGTATGATTATTAAGGAAAAATGAATGAAATTGACATTCATGGTGTAATTGAGCATTTATAAAACATTTCTATTTTGCCATTTTCTTTTGTATTTTGGAGCCAATGTATTGTTTTTCAGGCCTTATGTTTTCGTGGGTATCTGGAAAATTTGAAGCCTCCTGGCCTGGAATCATCCCTTCTGCCCAGTGACTCACATGGTCCTGCCCTCTCTTACCAGTTGTGACATTGGGCATATCCCTGTACCTGCTGGGCCTCAGTGTCCTCCTCTGAGGAAAGACCACCCACCCCACAAGCCGAGCAGGGGCGTTCAGTGAGATACCCCTGGAGTACCCCACCTGTTGACCTGTTGCAGTGAGTCTTCGTCCTGACTAGGCTGTGCCTGTTTTAAGGGTGGAGACCACGTACTGAGCTCCAGTGCCCAGCCTGATGCCTGGCACAGGGGAGGTATTCAATACATGTTTATCCCCTCACTGTCTCTAAATCTGTCATTTCTATCGCAAGTCTTTTGCCCAAGCTGTTTTCACACCAGGAATGCCCCTCCGTCTCTTTCCATGCTTCCACATACCCTCCTCCCAGTTCTCCACATTGCTACAGTATGTTCAGAATTTACCAAAAAAAAATGAAGTGACAGGCAGAGAGGAAGTAGCGTGGAAGTTAGAGCTAGAGCCATGGGCTCAGATGGGCTTGGGTTCTCGTCCCAACGCTGCCTTTGCGGGACTTATGACCTTGGGCAGGTCACGTCCATGCCCGGCCCTTGATCTCAGCTGTGGGAGGGGCAGGAAACGCTCCCTGCACCAGGCTGCTGGGGCTGCAGCAGAGCCCTGCATGAGCGGCTTTGTCAGCCGTGAGGCGCAGTGTCCAGGAGGGATGAAGTGTAATGCTGCAGAGGTGGACACGCTGGTGGGGGCTGGCGCCTGGACGAGGGTGGGAACAATGGGGGAGCTTACTTTGCTGACAACTGCCAAGACCTTTTGCCGGAAGTGAAGCTCATCTTTCTCCTTGGCCATCTCCCTGGGAAAGAAGAAGTAGGGGACAGCAGCCAGGGCCACGGCGGCAGCAGAAACGAGGAAGCCCAGCCACCAGGCACCCACCCATCGGGGGTCCTTTGAGGTCAGGCTGATACCACCTGGAAGAGAAGAGCATGGTGATGTTAGGTCCAGGATGGGCTGTCAGTTCTTGGCCACCCCCCTGGGATTGACCCTTGAGACATAAGGAAGCCTGGCTGGGGAGTCAGAAGACCTGGGTTATGATCCTGGCTCTGCCATTTATGTCCTGCATGACCTTGGGCAAGTCCCTGACCATTTGTGCACCTCGGCTTTTTCAACTACTAAGGCAGCGTGTGTAGTGATCAAGGTCATGGACTTTGGGAATGGACTGCTGGGTCTGAATTCCATTACTAACATAACTTTGAGCAAGTTATTTAACCTCTTTGTGCCTCAGTTTCTTCCTACGTAAAACACAGATATTAGTAGTACTTACATCAGAGGGTTGTTGTGAGAATCACAGAAAGGAATACATGTAAAAAGCACTTAGAATAGTACTGGAACATAGTATGTTCTATATAGGTGTTAGCTCTTCTCCATTTTACTGTTACTAGTGTGCCCACCTCCCCCATCAAACCTCTCGACCCCAAGGCTGAGTTAGGTACCTCCTCCGTCAATGCCACAGTACCTGCAAACACTTTATAATAATATGGACACATGATGACACCAGCCCCATGGGACAGACTGGTTCCTAGGAAGTTGGTCCTAGCTCCTCCTGGGCAGAAGCCAGAGTGCACAGTCAGCACTCAACAAATGTATTTGTAAAGCTGGGGATGGAGTTGGCTTTAGCCCTGATTCCCTCCTCCACTTATTTTTCCACTTCTGTGCCAGGCTGGTGACAGCATTGCCCCAACTCCTCCACTTCTCACATACCAGCCTGTGCCTGCAGTAGGCATGATCTGCCCACCCCATGAAATCCCCCAGAGGGAAAGAAAGACTAGGAATGTCACATCTGCCTGTGGAGGTGCCACATTTGCAGGATGATGCCAGAAGAGCCAGAAAACATGCCCTCTTGCACTGAGCTGGGGTGTGTCTTAGAAACCTAGGGAAGCCTTGACTCCCAGGAGTTGTATTTCAAGGGAGAGAGAGGAGTTACTGCCAGAGGTCACATTGGGCTCCTAGGCCCAGCTTTCTAGAAGAAAGGGAGGTGGAGGTGGGGTGGGGCTGTCCCTAGTGACTCTTGTTCAGAGCTGCCCAGACCTGTCCTAGCTGGAGGCGCTGTTGAATAAGACCTGAGACCAAGAAGCAAAACTGCATGGTCACCTCTTTGTATAGGTGTCATCTGAGGCTTCTAGGGCTTTCTGGGAAATCTCCAGGTGAGGGACAGGACTTCTGAGCAGCTGAAGCCAGAAGGCATAGTTAGGGGCTTGGTGTTACAAGCAGGTAGCTGAGATGCCACAGTGACCTGTTCTAAAAGGAATGCTCTCCCACTCCCCGCAGAGCGCCAGAGCACCAAGACCCACAAAACTCCTCCCTTTTGGCTGCCTTCATACCAAGCTTTGGTCCCACTCTTTCGCTCACTCTGACCACTACCTGGATCAGAGACCACTGTTTTCCAAATGTTGTCTTCGACACAGGTTCCCAAATTCTGAGTTTGTCAGAACTAGAAGAGTCCTTAGAGGTCACTCAGTAAATTCTCTTTGGAGAGAGGCCCAAGGGAACTGAGTCCTGCTCCAAACGCTTTCTCTGACTTGCCAGTGTCCTCTGTTTCACCTGGGTCTTTTCCCCCTAGAGATGGGAGCTCCCCACAGGCTAAGAGAGCATTGCCCCTGTCTGCCCACAGTGTATCCGGGCACAGGACTGGGAGCCTGGGGGACTCAGGAATGGAACAAGGTGAAGCCACAATAATAACAGTGACGACAACCACAGCTCCTCATCTGATGTCGCTTTACAGCTTATCTCCATTATCTCACTGGATTCTTGGTTGAGCCTTTGGGAGGTGGACGGGGCAGAAATTATCTCAAAGATGAGAAAAAAAAAAGATGTTAAGAAGCATGTCCAAGGTCAGTGGGATTGCTGGGATTTGAACATGGACCCCCTGGTTCAGTGTCTCCTGTGAGATCAGTGATCAGTGAGCTAGTATCTGTGTGCCCTGGGGACAGTTGTGCCCTTGGGGCTCACCTTCTGGCATTCGGTCAATGTCCACATAAAGGCGAAGCATGAGGCCACCCAGCCCAAAGGCCATGCCTGGCCCCATCATCGTCACTGCAAACAGGATCCCTGAAACACAAGACCTAGGTTAGGCCATCTGGCCCTGGTTTCCCTCAGCAGACCAGTGCCTGCCCACTGGGCAAGAGCAGCCTGTCTCCCGGGTTGGGTCCTGGAAACTTTTCAGGGCTTCTCCGGATATTTATTGGCCACGTGGGACAGAAGCCAGCCCCCCTCACTCCAGGCCTCTGGTCCTCCCTGAGCGGGGCCCTCCCTCAGAGCTGAGGGGTGGGACCATTCCTCACCAAGGTAAAGGGGCGAGTTGTTGTTGTGGGCAAAGTCATCAATATAGGAGATGCCGAAGGGCTGGATGGGGACACTGCCCACACCGAGCAGGGTCTGAGCCACAAACATGATCCCCACCACGGTCAGATGCTGGGTCTCCGTGTAGCTTGAACAGCTGCTGCTGTTGGAGTGGGCCAGGGCCCGGGCCGAGGTTGCGGGCAGGCACAGGGAAGACTCGAAGTCCTGCGGCGCGTCTGCTGAGAGGCGATGAAAAACATGACTGTAGCTAAGACTTATACAGCGCTTCCTGGACGCGAGGGACTGTTCTTGCATGTTTCAATCATTTGTCCCCCCTACCCCACAACAAGCCTCGGCGATGGGCACTCTCATTCCTCTGATTTCACAGATGAGGAGACTGATGCTCAGGCAGCAACCAGCAAGGGTGGGGTTAGGACTGGGACCCAGGCAGCCTGGCGTTGAGCCCGTGCTCTGAAACCACCCTGTGCTGCCTTTCTGGGCAGAGGTATGTGCTCTTGGGTGGGGTGGGCTGTCAAAGGAGGTCGATTTTGACCCGGGTCAAGAAGAACAAACAAGATTTTCCCAAAAAAGGTAGGGAGGGCTATTCCAAGAAGCAGCCACGGTACATGGCAAACGCAGGGACTTAAGGAGTTCATCACTGAGGGCCCCGGAGCGTGAGGGGCAAGGCCAGGGCTGGAGGCGGGGATGGGCAGGGCAGGGGTGCTGGGCCTGGGTGTGGAGGGCTCTAGTGCCCTTGGCCTTCATTCTGGGGAGGGCGCGGTGTCAGCTCAGGACACAGATGCAAAGTTCAGTAAAGGGGCACTTCTTAATTTAGTACCAGACATATGTTCCCTGTAGCTCACCAATATTTAGTGAGCAAACTTAAGGAGACCCTCATGCTATTATTATCCCAAATGTGAGTCTAGAAGTGGCCCTCCCTCTGTGGCCTGCCAGGCCCTTTCCAGGAGCTGGGCTCTAAGGAAAAGCTGGGTGAACCAAAGTTAACAACCCGGGCCTTCAGTGGAGGCTTCCTGGGCTGAAGACTGTGACACTTTCAGCCCCCTGGGCCTCTGTTTCCTCACCTCTCAAGAGTCTCATGGAATTCAGAGACAAGGTAATTCAGTGTTCAGAGCAGGGGTTCTAGGACCAGGCTGCCGGGTGCCTTGGGGAAGTGCTGCCCTCTCTGAGCATCGGATTCCTCACTTGTAAAATAGGATAATCAGAGGATAACACCTGCTCAGAGGGTTGTAAAGACGAGGAGTGGTGAGTGGTGGGTGGGTGGTAAACTGGTGGATGGGAGAAGGAAGGAAGGAAGCAAATGCTCAGGCCATTCTCTGAGGGCCGGGCCAGGCCTCCATCTGTCCAGTAGGGTCTGGGCAAAAATCCCACTGAACTGAGCAGGGGCTTCACTATTCCTGTATGAAATTCTTTCATTTTTAATTTGTTCATTCACTCATTCATTCTTTCTTCCATCAGCATCTTAGCTTCTTGCGAGGACTAAACCCATCAGTACATGCAAAGTGGTTAGAACAGCACCTAGTATGTAGTAAGTGGTGTGTGACACTGTGACTACGCCAAGGACGTTTCCTGACGACCTACTACTCCCAGGCCCCAAAGTGGGCTGTGGTACAAATTCACCTCCACCTCACAAGAAGCAGTGACATACAAGCAGGCCCTCACCAAGACTGGCCCACAGAGCCTCACCCCAGGCCCACACCCTGCCCCACTCCCAGGCCCACTGGAGCTGGACTGAGGGAGGCAGTGGGGTGGGAGGACTGGCCGGTGTCCTGGGAAACTGGGCCAGGATGAAGGCCTGGGCCCGGGCCCGGCGCACAGCGTGCTGCTCCTCATGTCCGCCTCCTGCCCGGCCCCTCCGGCTCTTACCGGGGCTGGTGCGGTCGTAGCGGTACGGCTCCGAGATGAAGTGCGGGAGAGTCATGAGCAGGCCCGCCAGGGCCACAACGATAGCCCCACAGCCGATCAGTCGGGGTCGGTGTACCCTGCTGCCAAAATAGCTCACGAACACAATCAGGGCTGTGTTCCCCACCTGCAGAAAGAGGAAGGGACCCATTAAAGTAGAGCAGAACCCAGAGCTGGAGGCCTACACCATCCTTGCCTCTATTGCCAGCCTCAGTGCTCCCATCTGTATAGTGGACTAGCAGGCTAAGTAAGAAGCAAATTCTGGGTCCTCCTAGGAAAGACCCCACTGCCCCATTAGGGGAGAGATATGAGGGCAGAGTGGACAAGGTTAGAAGTTCAATTTCATTCTGGAACATGGGTTGGATCCCATATTACAGCAATTTTCAACCGGTGTGCCACAAGAATTTTTAAAACATGCAATATCTGACTATTTAGTCAGGGGCACTGACCTCTTTTCCCTTCGATTGTCAAATAAAAAAAATGACAACAGCCAACAAAACAATAGCCATCCCGTGTCAATGAATCAAAATTATGCCTATTTTTTGTTAGATCGGCAAAATATAATCTATATTTTGGTGTGCCGCAGAATTTTAGTAATTAGTTTATGGGTGCCATGAGATGAAAAGGGTTGAAAATTGCTGCCCTATTAGAATATGAAGACGGGCAGTCAAGGAAAGGGGTTTTGAGTTTCTGGGATGTCATGAGTGAGAGAGACAAATAACAAAAATCTGAAGCCAGATGACAAAGGCTTGGAATTTTGAGCCTTGGAATAAAAATCCTAGGATGTGAGCACTGGAGGGGACTCGAGAGCTGCAAGGAAAAACAGGCTCCTCCATCAGCAGCTGGGGTGTGGCTCCCCCTGCACTGCTTACTGGCTGCTGACTGTGGATGGGGTCCTCACCCCCAGCCCCACGCTCCTTGCTGGTGGAGTGGGCCAGTATCAGCAGAGGGATGGGAGGACGACTGGCCCTGGGAAGGACCGTCACTCTCCATTTTATAGACAGGACACTGAGTCCCAGAGACAGGGAGTGACTTGACCAAGGTCCCAGAGCTAGATGATGATGTTCCTTTCCCACCCCTGAGATCTGGAGGTGGGGTCTAAGGGACATCTGGGAACTCTCTGTAGCTGGCAAACTTTGGTTTGGGAGGAATGAGGCACATCACCCAGAGGGAAGAGAATTTCACAGAAATCTGCTGGGGGTGGGGAACGAAGAGAGTGACCTTTGGGCAGTGGCCTTCTCCAAACATCTGGGGGGGGAGGGGGCTGGCACAGCTGGACTTTGATCTCCAAATCCATCCAAAGCAGTTTATCTACTCCTCCCTGACTGTTGGCCCCAGAGGCAGGGGCTGTGGACTCTTGGACAACTCTGAGGACAATAAATTCTTCCTGCTTTGGTATCACACCCTCCCCAACCACCCCAAGGTTCCAAAGTTCTGCCTTTGATCTAATGTAACCCTCTCTGTTGAAGTGAGTTCCTCTGATTCCTTCCTGTGCCAGGCAATAACCAGGTGCCTGAAAAGGAAAGGGAACCAAAGGGAGAGGGGGTGGATATGGGGACGCTGGCTAGCTCTAAAATACCCTCCTCCCACTAAAGTGCCCCCAAGGTCAGGATTGCCAATACTGTGACTTTACATGGAGGGGGGGGCTCTTCTCATTAGCCCCTGTCCTAACACATGGCTTGTCCCTTTACTGGCCAAGACAATGCTGAAGGAGCTGGCTAAGAAGGTTTTGGGAGGCAGCTGCGATGGGGTAGCCTGCAGGCACTTGGAGGGGAAGGATTTATGTTGGAATATGAGGGGGGGGTTGGTGGGGCTGCAACTGGGGCAGGGCCAGTACCTCATTGAAGGCAGCCAGCAGCCCGGAGGTCTGGCTGGAGAGGCCAAAGCGTTTCTCCACCGTTGAGATAGAGCTCTTGAGGTAGCCGGAGATCATGAGCTGTGCCAGTTGCAGCAAACTGTGGCACAGGATGAAGAACTGCCGGAGGGAGGGCCGCGGCGATGGCAGTGGGCAGAGGGACAGGGAGACAGTAGGCAGTCAGTCAGGGGAGTGGAGAGACAGAGATGGAGTTGGGGAAAGAGGGAGAGTAAGGCCATAAGAGGAGCAAGGAACAGAGATGGGGACACAGTCAGGGAGACGTACACACAGGAGGAGAGAGAGCAAAGGAGAGTCAAGGACAGGAAAGTGGGGGGAGAGGGAGAGGGAGAGGGAAGAGGAGAGAGAGGGAGGGAGAGAGAGAGGGAGGAGTTATTGGAGTAGCCATAGCTTCTCACACAAATGAGAAAAGCTATCAGAGTATCCTCAGGGGCCTGGGAGTTACCTGAGGCCCACATGACTGAAAGCAAGGCCTTCATAGGCCTAGAATGATGAGAGCCCCCTCTGACCACCTCCCTGCTCCACCTCCCTCCCCTTTATCCAGGAAGCTATCACAGATCCTTCCTCACCCCCCCATCTTCCCCCAGAGCTCCCTTGGGAGACAACCTGTAAACACAAATCCACAAGCTGCTCACCCCACCCTACCCAGCCCCACCTCAAACATCCCCTCCTGCTTCCTAAAAAAATACAGAATTCCTAAGAGAAGAAAAACTAGCCTCAAAGTATTAAAAAATAGAGTTTTTATGCCAGAGCTTAATAACATTCACTCTGTTCTTCTAAGTCTCATCTTCTCATGTACAAAAAGGACATTGTTCCGACCCCCAGGGTTACTGTGAGAACTAAATAAGGTCATGTGGGAACAGCACTTGGCACAGGTGCCAGTGGATACTTGCATGTTGAGGGCTGCCTGTGTTGGAGCCAGAACTTCCCGTGTTCACACAGGCTCAGGATCCCTGGGGCCCTTCTCTTTCCCTCTAGGGAAATGAGAGGTAGAGAGACTAGTCCCTCCTGCCACAGAGCAGCACCCTTTTCTGGAAGGCAAGAACATGGGCTAGGCATCTTCTATGTGCCCCAAACCAAGCTAAGTGTTTTCATAGATCATCTTTTTGATCTTCACAGCCACCCATTCTACAGATGAGGAAACTGAGGCCCAGGAAGGCAGCAACTTTCTTGGTGTTACACAGCCAGTTAAGTGTCAGAGCTTGCCCTGCTGGGCTCACATGGCCCTGCAGTGACCAGGCCCTGAGAGGTACCTTGATGTTGTGGAACACACTTGGCCGCAAGTCCTGAGAGTCTGGGCTGGCTTTGTTTCCAGGTGTGTCTTCTGTGCCCATCATGACCTTGGTGTCCTTGTCTGGCACCTGGGGCTCTATACCCACTGGCCCTGTGGACAGATAGCCAGGGGGTGAGAGTGAAGATGGAATTCCAAAGAACGGCCCTGATCCAGGTAGCCCAAGTATTTCAGGGGTTGATGAGGATCTGAGAGTCAAAGCACCTCCAGACTTCCCGAGTCCCAGGTGCTGGAACGGTCCTTCATAAGAGGTTGTGTGTTTCTTGTGCACACTTTGGCCAGATCCTGACTGGGACCACCTGTTTGACACTTTCATTCCATTCCTAGCATAAACTTGCCTTTAGGGAAAAGCTGCTGACCATGACACAACCTTCGAGCAGTGGCCCCAGTGGTAGGGACACAGTCTCAGCCCGCCTTGGGCCTACAGCAGTGAGAGATTGGTACTCCTGGAGGCTGAGTCTGGGTCTGGGTCTGTCTGGCTTAGCCTAGGGTCAAACATCTGGGGTCAGGTGCAGGGTCAAGGCTTGGTGCACAGTCAGGGCATAGAGACTTTTCCTAAGGATAGTCTGAAACAGATAGCAACACCCCCATAGGACAGCACCTTGTGTATAATCACAGAGTTAACCAGCCCAGTCCCCAAAATCATACATCAAACCATGTTGCTGATTAGCGCAGAGAGGGCCCTCAGAAGTCATCTTATTTACACCACCCCCAAACTGAGGCCCTATGTCAGGTGATGACTCAGGAGGCAGAGCTGTGGTAGAACTGGACACTGGCCCCATTACACACGCCAGTTTTCTCCCATGGCAGCCACTCACTGCAGTGAGAGGAAAGATGAGCCCCTTCAGCCCAGCTGGCATGGCTCAGTGGTTGAGCCTCAACCTATGATCCAGGAGATCATAGTTCGATTCCCAGTCAGGACACATGGCTGAGTTCAGGCTGGATCCCCAGTGGGGGGCATGCAGGAGGCAGCTGATCAATGACTCTCTCATCACTGATGTTTCTCTCTCTCTCTCCCTCTCCCTTCCTCTCTCTGAAATCAGTAAAGACATATTTAAAAAAAAAAAAAAAAAAAAGATGAGCCCCTTCAAAGGCATCTCCTAGGGTCTCCTGACGTTTAATCTCAGTGAGGAGCCAGAAGTCCAGCCTTGGGAGACTCCACCCTCCACTTAGATGGAAACCCTCTGTATCTTCTGGCAGCCCAGGCCTCTTTGACCTTTCTCCCCTCCTGGGGCCCCACTTCCTGCAGAAGCCTCCTCCATTGTTTTGCATGCCTTTTAACCTGGCTGGAGTTTCCTCTCATTCAACAAGCTCCTTCTGGAGCTTGAAAGCTGACCTGAGGACACTCTGACCACACCTGGAAGGCAAACTCAGAGAGGGGGCTACAGAGGCTGGGAACTGCCACTGCAAAGGGTTTGTGTTCCTTGCACTAGGTACCTGGGAGCCTGAGGAATTTTTTTAATTGAGCTATAATTCACACACCATAAAATCTGCCCTTTAAAATACACAATTCAGAGGTTTTTAGTATAGTCAAAAAGTTATACACCATCACCACTATCCAATTTCAGAATGTTTTCATCACCCCAACAAGAAACCCCAGACCCAAGAGCAGTCACTTCACATTTCTCTCTCCCCCAGCTCCTGGCAACCACAAATCTTTTTTCTGGCTCTCTGGGTTTGCCTATTCCAGATATTCCATATAAATTCATATCAATGAAATCACACACTATGTGGTCTTTTGTGACTGGCTTCTTTCACTTAGCATAGCTTTCAATGTTCATCCATGTTAAAACATACAACACTTCATTCCTTTTGTCAGCTGAGTAATATTCCATTGTATGGGTATATTTCACATTTTGTTTATTCAGTCATCTGTTGATGGACATCTGAGTTATTTCAGGTACTCTGAACATTCATGTACAGATTTTTACTTAGACATATGTTTTCAGTTCTCTTGGGTGTATATATATAGCCAGGAGTAGAATTCCTGGGTCATATGGTAATTTTACATTTAACTCTTTGAGGAGCTGCCAAACTGTTTTCCCAAGTGGCTGCTCCATTTTATACTCCTGCCAACAATGTAAGATGGTTCCAATTTCTTGCCAGCATTTGTTATTGTCTGTCTTTTTGATGACAGCCATCCTCCTGGATGTGAAGTGGTGTCTCATGTGGTTTTGATTTGCATTGCCCGGAGGACTGCTGAGGTGGAGCATCTTTTCATGTGCTTGCTGGCCATCCTCAAAGAAGAAATATCTGTTCAAATAGCTAGAGGAGCTTGCCTGAGGAAGTGAAAGTGTGTGTGGCTGGGGAGGAGTCCCTTTTGGGGACGTAAACACTCAGAAGAAACAGGAGATATTGAAACAAAAGTGACATCTGACAGGGAGGAGACAAGGGGCTGGCATAGTGAAGGAGAGCAAGGGAAGCCCTGCAAAGCTCACTGAAGGGTTCCAAACAAACTCTCCCAGATGATATCTATGGGACCGTTTCTAAGCCCCAGTACTCTCACCAGCAGAGACCGGTAAACCACTATTGCAGATGCTGTGCTCCACACCCCAAATGCTGGTGCGGGCTCTCCACAACTCCCTGCCTTTGGCGCTTTTGTTGTCTCTGTGCTTCCACTGAGGACGCCAAAGCTCAGAGCTAACTGGCTCTGCTGGTTGACACTGGTACAGGAACTCAAGCTCAGGTGTTAACCTCAACATCACTCGAAGCTCCTTGTGCAGGTTTGATGAGGGCAAGAAGCACAGTGCCCCAGCCCAACCCAACCTAGCCAGGCCACCCCGAAGGCAGCAGTGCCCTCCAGCCAAGGGGCCGGGCCAGCCAGATGGTGGGGCCGGAGCTGAGGTTGGGAAGGCAGAAGTCACTGACCTGGAGCCGCAGCTCTGGGAGAAACCCAAGGGATGGATGAGGGAGAGGGACAGAGGATCAGGACACAAGCTCAGAACCTTCCACCCCCTTGTGGCCCAGTTCACAGCCTGAGCCTCTGAGCAGAAGAGGGAAGCAGTGGCCCGACCCCCTGCTCTGGGTTCTGAGAGCAGCCATTAGTCAGTGTATTGAGTGGTCAGCTGGTCACTGAATGGAGCTGGTCAGGCAGGTTGTCAGTCCTCTCTGAGCCCTTCCTGTGGGCTGAGGCCTCTCCTGAGGGACCAGCCTCAAACTCCCTGATAGAGATCAGAACTCCCCTTAGAAGGAGGACCCCCAGTCTAAGGCTGTATGTCCCCCTCGTGTGACATCCTTGAGGTCCTTCCCATCCCGTGAAGACTGTCAGGGGCCAGCCTTGACAGGAGGGGAGCAGCTGTGGGAGTGAATCTGGGCTGGGCCAGGGTGGCCTGTAAGAATGAAGGGAGAGGCAGGGAGCCAGATCCCAGGGAAAAAAATCCCAGCCCCTTTCTCTCCAGGTAGGAAAACAAGTTTTGGGGCTTCAGGTGGTTCCAAGTGCTGGAGCCCACGGCCCCAGGGCTGGCAGGCAAGGGGCCTGCGTCCCTGTCAGTAGATTGCATGGCTAGTCATTCACACAGACCCATGCATGTCTATCAGCTGCAGGTCACCAGTCTGGCTGGCCTTTCAGGAGATTAGTCCACTTGGGCTGCCTGTCAGTTGGCAACTTGCCCGCAGCTGCTCTGCAAGCTGGTCAGACCATCGCCCTGAGACCTTGTTTATCAGTTCAGTCTGACTCCAGAGGGAGGTCCACAAGGCAGAGGGTCTGTCTCTAGCTATCCCCTCCAGGGGCAGGAATCTTTCTTCACACCAGCTGAGTCTGGAGTGACTAGGGCCAAGTTTTCAGAGAGCTGTGTGAGAGGGAGAGCTACCTTTCCCACCTGCTCTTTGCTGGAAAGGCTCAGGAACCAGCTTCCTCCATCATTTCCAAGCTGCCAAGAGCAAATCCCAGGCAGATGGTAGGTTTCCAAGTCCTCAGACCTGGGTCTGAGCCCCAGCCCCACCGCCACTGGCCTGCTATATGAGCCTAGATGAGACCCTTCATTTTTCTGAGCCTGTTTCCTCATCTGTAAGGTAAGGATACAGCATCTACCCCAAGGAGATAAGGCATCTAGAGCTCCTGGCACAGGCCAGGCCCCACTGAGGGCCACTGCCCTCCCCTCTCCCGATAAACTTCAAGACCCCCAAAACTACAAGGCCCACTGATCTCATCCCCTTCCATGCACACCTGACTCCTCCAAATTAACACCATCTCTGGATTTTCTCTCTCCCTCTCATTCTAGTCCCAGTCAACCATAAGACCTGAGGACCTGGACCCCTTCCTTCCATGCACACTCACTGTCTTTGGAGGCAAATGCCCAGGTTCCACTCCCCCAGCTGCAATCTTGCTGCGTGGCCTTGGACCAGTGGCCCTTTGGCCTCTTCATTCACAATGCAGGGGTGAGTATCCCTACTTCCCAGTGCAGACAGCGTCCACTGGGAACCAGGCCCTTCCACCCCATAATCAGCCAGGACACTAAAAGCCCCAAACTACACCTTACAGTCCACATTAACCTGACTTTGATATTCCACTCTCTTCATTAGCATTTTTCTCCTTACTCTTCCCCTTTTGACCAGACCAAGCAAATGGCTTGATTGTTTATGACAGGAATTTCCTGAAAGACCCACCCACTTTTCAAGGGAAACCATCAACAGGCTGTGTACCCGAAAATTCTTTGAATCTCTCTTCCTAAAATCCTTACCTTGCTGCTTGCACTCACAAATCTTGCACTGTTGGATCATGATTCTTACCCAATCCCAGTCAGGCTCCCCTCACCCACCTCCCTCCCTGCACCAAGGACCTCCTTAAAACAAACTTCCAACTCTCAGCAAATGCAGACCTTTCTTCCCACTCTGAGACACTGCCAAGGCTCTGAGAAGTGGTGTTGTCATTGGGTTGTGTCAGTAATGGGTGGAGAGCCAGCACAGATAGATGCAAAGCAGGTATTCAGTAGACTGTTTTCTTCTCAGTCAGGCAGCAAGACTTTATGTCGGCTCTCTCCTGCCATGAGCACCTATCAGCTGTCTGTCCTGCTACAAACACCCTGCCTGCCTCCATACTTGCTTTGTGACAGCAAGGAGCATTGTCACTTCTAGAATCTGAGAACTGGAAGAGT